CTGTTGACCACTTTTCCAATTCAGTGATCACTTCCGATAACTGTTCCATCAATTCATCGTTGAGTGCATTTCTCTTCTTGTAATTATTGATACAAATGGTGGCGATTCCTGTCCTCTCATTCTTCATGAGTTCAATACTTTCTTCAAACTTATCGGACATTCTTATGCAATGATAACTCAAATTCACTTAAATATTACATTTAAATCAATTTTATTATAATATTAATTTGTTTGATTAGATATAAACCATAACATGTTATCATGTGTAATTTAAATAATTATAAGTTATTAAATAACTAAACGCTTAATTACTGTTTTCATGCAACAAATTATAAATATAATAAATAATTACCTAAATAAGTGCCTATGAAAAGGAAAAGTCTATCAAAACAAAACAAAATACACAGAAAAGTGTGTTATTATTATTGAAATTAAATATTTTATGCGACGATCTATTGATTAAAAACACTTTACGCCTCTAAACAGGCTTTAAGTTAATTAATACTAAATTCAAGGCTATTCTCATGTATTATACAATATTGTATTGTCATTGCAATGAATTTCATCTTATTTTAACTGCAATCTAAACATATATTGGTTTAACAAATACCTGTACGGATACAACATCTACTGTCCTGTAATTATAATTGCCGTACATTTAAACATAAAAATATGTCATTTCGAGAATAATTTGAATAATTCTTATTATCAAATCGTAATGTAAATCATTTTGAATCCATTCATTACCAATTCTAATGCAAGAATCTCTACTATTATTACTAAAATCGATATTTTTATCATTAAATAGTGTACATTATATGGCCATATAAATGTAGTGCATGTGTGAATTCAAACATATGAAAACCATCACCAAAACTACCAATATTACAATTATATAAACTTCAAAATTATCAAATATTATCGTACAATTAATATTAGCTAACATTATGTCAGTTTTATTTTTGTCGAGCGCTTATCAGTGAAACAAATTCAAACCCCTTTTTGCCATTAAAGTAGAAATATTTCTTGTTATTAATATTTCTGTTAATTAAAAAATGTTCAAATGTTAGTCTTATTGATTAATATTAATAAGTATTCTGTATCTAAAACGTCTCAATGATATCAATAAATGTGATTAAATAATATTATTGTTAAACCTCTCTAATAATATTAGCCATAATTCTGCTCTAAAATCAATTACAAAACGATTACATCGTTTGAATTCATAAAATGTTTTACATAAATGTATTACAAAATAAAATAGAAATCCATAGAAACGCAAATTTCATGGTAAAAATCAAACAAAACAGTGATATATAGCGTTTGAAATGTGAGGAAATTATTATTTAAAATATTAATTAAATGGAGAATACAGTTAATTATTTTTTAATTTAGTTAAAACACTAAAATAATAAAATACATTAGAATTTTTACTTTATAAATAATTATCAGAAATTTTTCATTAGTAAAAATGTTGTCACCAATTAATGAACTAAATAAACAGATTTTGGACAAAATGATATCAAAAAACTTTCAATATCTAAATTACTGCTAAACTTAATTAAACCATACGTTAAACATAAGGAAGAAATTTAGATTAAAAGTTAAATACAAACTTTTAAAACAATTTGTGTATAAAAAATATACCGTAATATGTAGTGAAGAACAATGATTTTCATTATTAATAATAAAGTACTTATAATAAACAATAAAAAGCATTAATTAATCGCAAAAAACAAACACAATTCAAACGGAAGATAAAGTTTTAGTTCACAAATCGATGTCTTAGACCAGAAAAAGATGTCATTTTACTTGTGTTTAAGGATGAGTTCGCGAAGTTTGGTCTCATTAGCGCCGGAAAACTCATCGATTTTTTGCTTATTCTTGAAGAGCAAGAAAGTGGGCATAACTGACACCTTGTGATCGGTGGCGATGTCTTCGTTCTCGTCCACATCGACCTTCAGGAACACCACTTCCGCCGCCAACTCGTCGCTCATTTTGTCCAAAACGGGACCAATCATTTTGCAGGGCCCGCACCAGGTCGCGTAGAAATCTACCACCACCAATTTGCCACCCGCGCCCGCTAATTGACCATCAAAGTCTCCCTAATCAAACAAGCATCGTCAAAATTAAACAAACTTGCTAATCATGCAACATGCACCATGTTACATGGTCAATGTTGGATAGTTTGCCGCACCAACCGTGCGATACATACCTTGTCTGCCACGTGATGGACACCCATTGTATTTGTTTGTATGGATTGGATTGGCGTTCAATTGAATTGATTTAATAGTCAATTGAATGACGAGTTAATTGTTATAAGCGTTTGAAAGCGTTATACAAATGTGTGTCAAATGGTGTGACAAATGCCGACAATAAGTGCTGCGAAAAACGCTGTGAAACGCTCTGCGCGTCTCATGTCATGCCTTCAACACAAGCCAACCAATCGCTGCCTAACTTTCATGACTGAACACTCCCTATAGTGTACTCTATCGGACACTCAACCAAACACTTATTGCCTCAAACTTTTCAATCATTGCATCAAATTGTGATCAATTAAGTGCTAAATCAGTGCATTATTTCACTAATCTATACAACTATT